ATCTAAGAATTAAAGAAATATTTGCTCTGAGAAAGGATAAAAAAATCTGTTAAATTCTGACTACAGACTTTGTGAAAATAGGTCTCTAATATCTACTAATAATTCAATATAGTCTCTTATATTGAAAAAGCTAGTTGAATTATGATAAGTATTTTTCTTAGAAATAGATTTTCATTTGAATTATCCTATGCTATTTTACTTCATGAAAGTCAGGAATATTATCAAGGAAAACTATTAATACTCAATTGTATAAATAAGAATGGCAGTGAGCAATTCTCATATTTGAAAAAATTATAAAGTAGCATAGTTTTATAGTTTGAAAGAAATAATTACTGGTTTGTTTAATATATTTGTGATTTCCCAAAATTTTATTATCATTAATTATTAGGTAATTTTATTTCCTAAAATAACTTCTTTTCAAGATGTTTGCTTATATGACTTTAAAAATCAACACTGGTAACATTTAATAGTGAGAAAAGTTACATCAGTATATTGAAAATAAATTCATTATATATAAAACAGAAGGATACTCAGGCTAGTAGGTATTTAAATGATTACTTTATAGGAGTTATCATTATAGCTATAACTTAAACCATATTCTATTACTTAGAAATATTTATGTTAGTAACATGAACATTCTTTTAGTATTGACTAAAACAATTAGCCTTTGGTACATGTAAAACACCCAAACATACCTTATAAGAAGAAAGTAGTCTTCTTGAAAATAGAACTAATCCACCGTGTATTTGTCTAAAAAGTAAATATAATGTAAATGTTCAAATATTTTCAGTACTATTTAAGAAGAAAAAATTAGAAGGTATTATATTTATTAAGATAAACAAGCAAACAGCAACCAGAAAAAACCAACCTTCACAATGGTCTCCTTATGTGACTTGGCACCCTGGGTGATCTTGAATAAACTACTTCAACAGATTAGTCCATTTTTGTACTGAGGAGCCAGATTAAAGCTTGTTACTGCTCATATGTTTTCCATCACTGTTTGTATCATAGCCAGGACGCTAACTAAACTCTAGACAGTCTACTAGAAGTTTCTGAAGAGAAAAAGAACTTTAATAATACATGGCAGTAGACCACTGAGAGTGCAGTCAAATCATTAAAAAAATACCTGATTTGAAAAACAACAGCAAATTCTTTTCTTTTTATAGTTTTTACTTAGAAAATTCTGAAGTGAATTAATGCTTACAAATTCTAATTTAAAAATTACTTATAGACTATTAAAATACTTTTCAATCTTCATAAATAATGATAACATTGTAGAAATATAAAACAAAATTTCAATTGTACCTAAAAAAGGAGCTAACCTTTTATATTCTTCTACTGACTAAAGTATATTTTCCAAGATCACGTCGCTTCCTTACAAAATTTTTAACTGTTTGTTAGTCATGTCAGGAGAATTTCAGGCCAGGTTCTAAGAAATATCCCTCACTTTAGTATTTAACTCAGTACTGAGTCTTTTTTTCTTTTTTGAGATTGAAGATTTGTTACCAACTTCTGAAATCTGAAATTCATCAAACATTCAATCAAGATGTACTGTTAAGTACTGGTGATAGAAATGGAAACATTGAAAACAGAGATGAAAGATTTTCACCAGAAGAACTAAACAAAATAAAACTCACTGCCATTGAGCCAATTCTGACTCATAGT